CTTAGTATTTATTTTATAAAAGCAATAGAAAACTTTTTTCTCTGTATTTACATAGCCTGATAGCAACACTCGGGGGGTTGGGAGAATTCTCGACAGTTATGCAAACCCTCGACTACGTCTCGGGTTTGCATAACTGTCTCGAATTCTCCCAACCTCCCCTCGTGTTGCTATCAGGCTATGTAAACACGGAAAAAGTTTTCTATTGCTTAAATAATTATACTTAAGCGAATGCTTCCTTAAAAAGGTAAGTCTTAATTAAGGACTTAAAACTGGAAACTGAGCCAGCAGTCTTGATATCATGAGGCAAAGAATTCCATAAATAAGGGGCAGCATAATAAAATGCTCTATATCCATAAGATCGTAAATTATAACTAGTCATGACTAAATTTTTACTTGATGACGATCTAAGAGTATGTCTAGGTTTATAGATATTAACTAGATCAGATATATATCCTGGAGCCTGTCCATTAAGGGCTTTATATGTTAGTAGTAATACCTTATATTTAATCCTCTGTTCGACTGGTAGCCAATGTAAATCGTATAAAATAGGTCTTATATGTTCATACTTGCGAGTACGTAAGGGTTACTATACGAGCAGCTGAATTCTGAACCTTCTGTAAACGTTCGATAGCATAGTCTGGTAGTCCAAATAAGAGAGAATTGCAAAAATCTAACCTAGATGTAATAAGTGCATGGACTAATGTTTCTGCAGACTTGCGAGTAAGATATTTTCTTATTCTACTAATGTTCCTTAAGTGATAGAAGCATGTTTTGCAAATGTTYGTGACATGTTGGTCCATACACAAAGTTGAATCCATCAGTGCTCCAATGTTACGAAAATGTCATGAAAATGTCATGTCATGCTCCAATGTCATGAAAATGTATGCGTTTATAGCCATTACGAGAATAGTTAGTGCGCTGTGACATTTTTAATGAACATCAGAAGTGATTAGCTCTCCCTGATTTACCAGACAGCTGCAAGTGTTTGTTTCTTAACTGTTGTTCTATTATATAGCTGGAGTAACTGTTGGAGACCCAGTATTAAGGACTGGTAAACCGTTATCTGTTGAACTTGGACCAGGTGAGCAATACATTAAATGAAAATAAAAAATGTGAGAATGAAAAAAAGAAGAGAAGAGGTCTAGGGGGAAGGAAAAGGGAGAAAAGGAAGAAAGAAATTTGAAAATCCATCATATGCATATTTACTATCAATTTTCAAAAACAATATTATGACCAGAATATTGCTTTTTCTTTAGGAATTATGGGAAGTATTTTTGATGGGATTCAAAGACCCCTAAAGGTTTGTATGCTGTCTGTATGGTAATTTTATGACCAAGACAAAAACAATARTCCCCTTAGCAGTTTTCTGCACCATCTTGAAAGGTAGCTGTGCTTTTGCATCAAAGCAAGACAGACAGTGAGCTTGCAATGGCAGATAATTTTTTTAACACCTTGAACAATAATTCACATGTATCTATCATTGCAAGCTCACCATTTATTTTTCGCTTTGATGCAAAGGCTTGGCTACCTTTTCAAGTTGGCACAGGGAACTGTGAAGGAAACTATTGGCCTCTTAAAAACAAGCAAGAGTTCTGAATTTTAATCTAATTAACAAAAGAGTTTGTCTTCTAATGAAGCAGCTCAGTATTAGTAAATATGTGAAATTTGAATGCATTTTGTTAAAAAGAACCAGGGTTGTTACAAAACTTCAGAACTTTTTGAAAAATTTACAAAGAATGTATAGTTAAGAGGGACAAGTGTTTTGTGTAACCATACATTTCTTTTAAATTTTTGACACTTTTGAAAGCTAATATTTTTGGTTCTTTTCATCCAATAATGTTCAAATTTACCAGACTTACTAATCTTGAAATTCTTTCTCAAGTGACAAAAGTTTGATTCTAATAAGATCAAAATTAAAAACTCCCCCCAGTCTCTAGGTCATTTCTAAAATGGCCTATGGACCTTTCTCTTTCCGGGCATAGCCTCAAATTCTTGATGATGAGGTCATACTTTGAATTTATAAGAAATCTTACTACATTAGTAGTTCCCTTAGAGTATTTTACCATTTTGGATCCAGACCATGAACATGTCATTCACTTGAGTATCATGCCACTTTTTACCATGTAATGGAGCACATATCTCCCAGCTAAAAAGTTTCATCAGAGGCGATTCGTCATTTATCAAATGGGGAAGAACATCTGAAAATAGCAAAAAGGGTTTTTTCTACAACCCTGGTGCCCCATTAGTATTTTTTTCAGGACCCATTGATTATTTCAAACATTTTCAAAGCTCTACTGTATATAACTCATCAATTTTTCAAGGCCTGCCTTTTCCCCTTCAATAAATAAAAACGGTTCCTTATCACCATAATTGTCTAAACTTAATGGCACAACGTGCCATGCCATCACCACCCAACTTATTTTTTTACTAGTTAGCCAATCAGACAGCGATTATTTGTGGGTTTACACATGAACTTACTCAGTGTGACYGCAAAGAATATTGTATATATTTCATACTCTTTGCAACAAATACTTGAATAAATTCTGTAAAAAGTCTTTTACTTGATGGAAACACATGGTGGGAAAGGATCCAACGGCATTGATAAAAACAGTTGTTGGATGGAAACGGTACAAATCTAGAATCAACTAAAATTTGATGATTGATTAACTGGAGATACTTTATTATTAACAAGTGTAGTACTTTTCAGGACATCAGTGAGTTAACCCAGAGTATTTACATTCCACGTGGTGTGAACACTGATGCGCTCAGCAAGACAGCACAATGGGAATTCATTCCAGAGGGTTACAAGGTAGGAATTTTAGTTTTAAAGTGGTTATGTTAGCAAGTTTAGTGAGAAGGAAGTGAGTATGGGGAGTAGTTTTATAGTGGTTATGTTAGCAAGTTTAGTGAGAAGGGAGTGAGTATAGTGA